TAAAATAATAGTGATAATAATAATAATATTAAATAAATAAATCTTTAAAAATGAAGAAAAATCATGGACGAGAATGCCTGGGTTGGTGGGTTTGTAGCAGTGCAATACACAGGCGGCCTCTGGGGAGGGTCCAGGCCAGGAGACTAGCCAGGAGGAAGGTGGGAGGGGACAGTGGCAGGCAGTGCAGCCTCTGCGGCCCAGCTGTAGGAGAAATAGGGAGTCAGGGAGGCTCCGGGGGCAGGGAAGTGTGCTTCTTTTCAGTAAGAAGCAAATTCGGGTTACTTCGAATCCAGATCACAAAAGACAGTATTTCCCCTGGGACCCTAAGCGGTGCAGGGACAGTCTGATCGACACTGAAGGGTGAGCCTGAGCTCAGTCACTGATAGAAGCACAACTTTCCCACTCAGGGAAGTGGCAAATGGCAGCTCTGACAGTCACATTTACTATGCTAGTCATCATAATATAATGATTAACCATCCCCGTGACATTTACGATATTGGCATAAATAAGCATTTCAGGAAACCTTAAAATGTTTATGACTCTCTCTCTTTTAAATTTTTCCGTAAGTTAGAAGTAGCTATTGAGGGACCAGCAGGTGGCGTGGTGGTTAAGGTGCTGGACTCCTACATGAGCAACCACGGTTCGAGTCCCAGGCCCAGTAGCTTGAGAACCACGCCTGGAGCATGTGTGTGCCCAAATCCCAAGAGGAGAGTGGAAAATAAGGAACTATGGCATGGCCATCGCTGGGGATGTAATTTCTCACTTTCCCCCTCTCTGTCTCTTCAGTGAGCACACATGCCCAATGGCAAAAACCTTAAAAAAAAAAAAAAAAAAGTAGTTACTGAGCCCCATGGAGAGATACCTTTTACAACTGATACCTTACTCAAACAGAAAATTTTCAGTAAGAAATGTCGCACTGCTTTTTTCAGCCAATAACATGTAAAAATCCCAGATGCCGTAGCATGGCTAGGACACAGGTGCCCTGAGAGGCTGGAAGATAAATGGCCGACTGTGGGTTCAGATCCCCAGGTGGGCTTGAGGACATGCTGTGAGAGGGTACCCAGGACCCTGTGGAGCTGGAGGGCTGGGAGAGGGGTCATGGACTGAGAGAGGAGTCATGGGCTGAGAAGACCATATAGGGAGCATTCATGTGTGTGTCATGTGAGTGTGTCTCGTGTGCGTGTGTGTCGTGTCTGTGTGTCTCGTATGTGTGTCATATGTGTGTCTTGTGTGTGTCATATGTGTGTCTCGTGTGTTGTGTGTGTCTCGTGTGTGTGTCGTGTGTGTGTCATGTGTGTCTCGCATGTGTGCACACACTCCCTATTATGAAAAGAAATCGTGAAGCCCTAGGCCTCCGAGAAGGTGCAGGCAGGCGCAGATTTCCGACCCCACCCTGAAGTTAGGGCTCGGGTAGTCAGAACACTTACCCTTCCAATCACACAGGTCGGCATCTTCGAATTCAGGCCACTGCGGGTCATGGCAGCCTGCTGATGTGGCATCCGCGTATAGGCCATGACAGTTGTGACTACACTGAATGGATGGTGGTGAGGGCGGGAAAGAAGAGCTGAGTGTGGACAGGGCATTGAGGGTGGGCGGTAGGGAAGGGGCTCCAGGTAAAACGAACAGCTCCTGAAGGAGGCAAGAGGGCAACTGAAAGAAGGAAGTTCTATGCAGAGGAAACACCAAGGACAAACAAACACGGAGAGGACATGGGCTTTCAGAGCCAGAGCAGCTAGGGCAGGACACGGACACCGGAGGAGCAGCACAGGAGGAGTGATTGCTCTTAGAGGTTTTAAAAAGGCAAAGTAGAATCAAAGTCTGTGTTAGTTTTAAAAGACTCCCCGTTGGCTGTTTGATTTTTAAAAATAATTATTTATGGGACCAGTAAATGGGATAATGGTTACGTCACTGGACTCCCATGTAGTCGATCGATAGCCATTCGAGTCCCAGACCTGGTGGCTTAAAACTCACACTGCACTGGGACCAGCAGTTGGTGTAATGGCTATGTCACTGGACTTCCATGTAGTGGACCACGGTTCGAGTCCCAGACCTGGTGGCTTAACTCATGATGGGCATGTGCGTGTGCGTGTCCAAGATCTCAAGAGGAGAATGGAGGAGAAGGGATTGTGGCATGGCCATCCCCCCTGAGAGATGATTTCTTACTTTCTGTTTCTTTGTCTCTCTCTGTCTTTCTGGTGAGTGCATGCGCCCTATAGCAAAAACCTCTCAAAAAAAAAAAAAAAAAAAAAAAAAACCCAAAAACGCACACAGCGCATGTGTGTGCATGTCCAAGATCCCTAGATGAAAATGGAGGAGAAGAGATTGTGGTGTGGTCATCCCTTGGGGGGAGGGGTTTTTGCTTTCTGTTTCTCTGTCTCTCTCAGTCTCTCTGGTAAGCGCATGTGCCCTATAGTCAAAATCTCTCTTAAAAAAAGTTATTTAATTTTATTTATCATCACCATCATCATCATCATTTTGCTACAGGACACATGTATTCACCAGAGAGAGACAGCGAGGTGAGGGGTGGGGGGTGAGAAAGCAAGCCATCAGGTCCAGGACTCAAGATGTGTCAGCCGTGTGGGGATCTAGCACCTTAACCACCACACCCTCTGCTGGCCCCAGCTGCTACGTTCAAACAGTGCACAGACGAGTCAGGAGACTGCTTGGAAGGCCGTCACAGAGATCCCAGTGAAGGCTTATGAAGGCTTGGAAAGTTTTCCATGTCATCTCCATTTGGTAGCATAAAACTATGGGAAGACAAAAGAGAAGAAAGAACTGACATTTTCTTTCTTTCTTTTTGGAGAGGTTTTCTTGTTTTGTTTTGTTTGTTTGCTTTTTGGATCTAGCGCGCGTGTACTCGCCAGACAGACAGAGAGAGACAAAGAGAGACAGAAGCGAGAAATCACCCCCCAGGGGGGATGGCCATGCCGCAATCCCTCCTCCTCCATTCTCCTCTCAGGATCTTGGGCATGCACACACACGCACCCAGCGTGAGTTTTAAGCCACCGGGTCCAGGACTCGAACCGTGATCAACTATATAGGAGTACAGCAGCATAGCCATTATGCTAACTGCTGGTCTCAAGAACTGAAATTTTCCACCACACTGGTTCCTCTGCCTTTTATAAAGTTTCTTAGAACAACTATCACCAATTTTCTCACTCTGGCTTCCCCCTTGGTTCAAATAACGCATATGTTTTTCATAGCATTGAAACTCACACTTTTAAGATATTGCTGGTTGGAGCCAGCAGGTGATGTCGAGTGGTTCAAGTCCCAGACCTGACACTCACACTGGGTGTGTGTGCACGAGTGCCCAAAAGCCCAAGAGGAGAATGAAGGAGAAAGGATTGTGGTGTGGCCATCCCTCCTGGGGGGTGATTTCTCACTTTCTATCTCTCCAATGACCATATGTACCTTATAGCAAAGATCTCTCAAAAAAAAAAAAGAAACAAAGAAAGATATTGTTGTATTGTTGGTCAAAAGAAATATAATGTGAACCATGTAAATTATTTAAAATTTTCTTATAGTCACATTTTTTAAAGTAAAAATAGATAAAATTAATTTTAATAATGTATTTAATATTTAACATTCCATATTCAAAATTTCACTTCAAAATATAAGCAATATAAAACATTTTTGAGATGTTTCACATTCTTTTTTTCATAGTAAGTTTTCAGAAGTCTCTGCAGTTTACAGTTACAGCACATCTCGGTTTAGACTAGCGACCTTTCAAGTGCTCACAGCCACATGCAGCTAGTGGCTCTAGAAGATTCAGATCTGTTTGAAAAGATAACTAATTTGCAGAAAAAAGAATCTTGGGCAAAACGTGACTGTTCTTGAAGGACTAAGTAAATGGCCGTCCTGGAGTCGCTCCCCAGCCAGTGCGGCTTTCCAGACCATGCCCGCTCAGGAGCTGCCTTTCTGTCGCCCACTTCTCTCTCTCTTTTAGGCTTTTGCCATAGGGCACATGCACTTGCCAGAAAAAGAGGGCAAGTGAGAGATCACACGCCCGGCGTGGGGGTGGGGGGGCCATGCCATAGCCCTTCCTCCCTCATCCCCCTCTCAGGATTCTGGGCACAGTGCACCTGTGCCTCTTGTGATTTTCAAACTGCCAGGTTCAGGACTTGAACAGTGGCTACCCATGTGGGAATCCACATGTGGCCACATGGCCCTAACCACAGCGCCACCTGCTGGCCCCTCCATTGCCCACTTGAATATAATTTTAGACACAATTAACTCAAGTATTATATGGAATTATGCTAATATATGTATTCATATTTACCAGAATTTTTAAATTAAAATGTTTGGTATATTTTTAAGAATTACTTATTCATTTTATTATTATCATTTAAGTTGCTATAGAGCACATGCCCCCACCAGAGTCAGAGAGAAAGTTGAGAAGGCAAGCTGCAGGTCCAGGACTCGAACCACAGTCAGCCATGTGGAAGTCCAGTGCCTTTACCATCATGTCACCTGCTGACTCCCTCTTTTGTACTTTTAAAGTTTATTTCTTGATTCCATGAGCAACAGTGACAGAGAAAGAGAGACAATCAGCCTTTCAACAGGGCCTTCACACGGCACTTTGTCCTCAGCCTTCACCACTCCCGGGTCTGGGCATGCACAGGTCTGGCCTGCTTGAGGACGTCTTGATTTAAACTGGCGACCTTCTCACATGGGATGTCTCAAAAAAGCCATACAAGAAAGCTTGGTATAGGGGCCGGCAGGGGGCATGATAGTTAAAGGTGCTGGACTCCCACATGGCCAACTGTAGTTCAAGTCCTGGACCTGGTAGCTCGCTTTCTCACTTTCTCTCTTTCTCTCTGATCAAACTGGAAAATAATAGTAATAATAATAAACCCAAAGTTAAATAAAATAATTCTTACAAAAAAAGGCTTGGTGTAATTTCAGCATGTCAAGAGGACTGCCCACTTTTTCCACAATTAAAACGGGAATTTTCTGCCTTATTGTCATCAATGTGTAAAATCTTTTTATTACCATTTTAGTCTTTACGTCCAAAGAAGAAGCAAGCGTCTTCATCCACAGACACCTCCTGTACAATAGATTCGACTTGGAGCTCTTCACTCCCGGGGATCTGGAGAGAGAGTGCTATGAAGAACTGTGCAGTTATGAGGAGGCCAGAGAGGTTTTCGTGGACGAAGACAAAACGGTGACTCGGCTGTTGTGTTCACTGCTGGGGCTTGTCCAGTGAGACTTGGGAAAGCTGAACTTCCAGTCGCTGTAGACGTCACGCTTTGAATCAAAGCGGGTTGTGAACCTGTTATCACTTTCTACTTTCTTTCTTTCTTTTTTTTTTTTTGAGAGGTTTTTGCTATAGGGCGCATGCACTCGCCAGACAGACAGAGAGAGACAGACAGAAAGTGAGAAATCACTCCCCAGGGGGGATGGCCACACCGCAATCCCTTCTCCTCCATTCTCCTCTCAGGATCTTGGGCATGCACACACACGCGCCCAGCGTGAATTTTAAGCCCCCGGGTCCAGGACGCAAGCTGCGGTCAACTACATGGGAGTACAGTAACAGCCATTATGCTAACTGCTGGTCCCACTTTCTACTTTCTTAAAATGCTAATTATCCTATTTACTTTTGGCTTTATTCTTAATTAGTGGGTTTCAGTAATTAGCAAATTAGTGACTATGCTGTTATTTTGTGTTTGATGTTTATTACATTAAAAAAAAAATCAGAACAGAGTGAACTAAATGAGTGAGTCCTCTGACAGGAGGTTAATCATTAAGGACCCAGGATCAGCATATGGCATAATGGTTACATCACTGGACTCTCACATAGTTGACTATAGTTCAAATCTCAGACTCAGCAGCTTAAAACTCATGCCAGGCACGTGTGTGTGCATGCCCAAAATCCCAAGAGGAGAATGAACTGCAGCATGGCCATCCCCCCAGGGGGATGATTTCTTGCTTTCTGTTTCTCTGTCTCTCTGGCGAGCACATATACCCTGTAGCAAAAATCTCTCAAAAAAATAAAAATAAATGATAATTAAAGACTCAGAGCAACTTCCCTCAGTGATCTGACCTCTTTCTGATTGCTTGTTACAGCCCAGGTATTTGTGACACTCTCCTGTGTAGCAGGCGCTCTGCCAGGCACAGAGGGGAAATGCAAAGGACCTTCAGAATGTTCATGGAAAACGCATACTGGGAACCAGCAGTTAGCGTAATGGCTATGTCGCTGGACTCCCACGTAGTCGACCGCGGTTCGCGTCCCGGACCCGGTGGCTTAAAACTCACGCCGGGCGCGTGTGCGTGCGTGCCCATGATCCTGAGAGGAGAATGGAGGAGAAGGGATTGCGGCGTGACCATCCCCCCTGGGGGGTGATTTCTCGCTTTCTGTCTCTATGTCTCTCTCTGTCTGTCTGGCGAGCGCACGCGCCCTATAGCGAAAATCTCTCTCAAAAAAAAAAAAAAAAAAAAAGAAAACGCATACTATAGACATTTTCGTATATCAAAGCACCAAATTAAGATTAGCAAGGTTTTAGCACACATATTAGTTAATCAAAAATCTATTTTACTTTCAAATAGTAAAATAAGGTATCAGATTGATACTAAAATATATCACAACAAAGCATGCAAAACATTATATGCTTATAGATCAATAAGAAAAAACTGTGTTAGATTTGTGTTTAAGTATGGTCACCTGTAGTCACTTCTTAATCTTACGCAAAATGTGGACATGACTGATTAAAAGTAAAGGAAGAAAATATCAACAATAAAATGTTCAAATAAAACTCCAATGAGACTGGATAACATCTTGGGCTACTTCAAGTGTATATGTCTAAGAAAGTGACATGATATGTAAAAGCTTTATCTCCTTAGTGCACAGATTCAGATAGACTGGAATCTCCAGTTTTCGGAAAATACTGGTCTACTTTAGGATCTATCTGCTTCCTTAAAATTTCAGTTTCTGTCATCATAAATAGGCAAGCAGAGAATTACATAACGTATCCTTTGAAGGAGATGATTCTGTCTCTCACTATTATGTTTTCTAATGAGGGAGAATGGAGAAGAAGGGATTGTGGCATGGCCGCCCCCTCTGGGGATGATTTCCCACTTTTCCTCTTACAATCTCTGTCTCTGCAGTGAGCTCATGTACCCTAAGGCCAAAAACTCTAAAAAAGATAAAAAGAAGGAAATTTTTGCATCAGAATAAACTTCTACTTTAATTCCATTTTCCATGAACTTCTGAAGCCCCCTTGCATATGGCTTGCATTCAGGAGCCCACTGTCCAGTTTACCTGTGTAACTCCGAGGGACAGTTCTTAGACGTTTTCCCTTAAAATATAATTAAACCTTGTCTGTTCATTTTTTTAAAAGAATTACTTCATTTAACTTTATTTATCTATTTATTTATTTATTTTAATTTAACCAGAGAGGGATAGAATGAGAGAGAGAGCGAGAAAGTGAGAAAGCAAGCCGCCAGGTCTGGGACTCAAACCGCAGTTGGCCATGTGGGAGTTCAGTGCCCTTAACACCACACCACCTGCCAGCCCTGGTCTGTTAATCTTGATAAGGTACAAGACAGGTTAACACTGTACCTATTGTAATCTGGCATGTTCTTGAAGAGTAGTAAGTGGCAAAAATTCATAACTTTTGTAGATGCAATAACTCTGATTCCTTTTTCCCTTTCCCAAGAGTTCTCAAAACATTTTAAAAAAATAGATTAAATAAATAAATAAAGTGCCCTATGGCAAAAACCTTGGGTGGGGAGGAGGGGGGAGAGTTCTATTTCACTCTATGGTCCCTAGGTTACAAAACCTCGTTATTTATTTTTCAATAGTTATATCCAGTCTTCACTACAAGTATTTGCTACGTCTGTTAAAGACAGAAAATAAAAAATACAATTTGTAGTTGAACCTACTGAGATTTTACTGTTTTTTATAAACCCATTTTCTAAGTTTATCATAGTTCCTTAAAATCTGCTTTTATTCTCTCAGGTCATACTTGAACAGTCTCAGGGATGTCTTACCAAGTCAATCAAAATTTCCTAAAAACTGCTAGCAAATCCGGGGCTGGCCAGCAGAGACCGAGAGCCCTTTGCGGCCACAATGAGCGCATGCCTTCGCTTCCTCCCTCGGTGCTTCTGCTGACTCTCACGGTCTCATTTTCCAGGAAGCCTAGCCCAGGCAGGTGAAGGGAGCCAGCAGGGCGGTTTAGAGCCAGCTGGGACTGAGAGACCAGAGACCCTGGTGGGCTAGGGCTTTCATCAGTCACACCCGCCCTCCAGCGTGAATGAGCTTAGCCTACTAAAGGCACATGCCAGGTGTACCCCCTCTAGACTAGGCCAGTGTGAGCAAGTGAAATGACAGTAAAGAAATTATATAGGGGCCAGTAGGTGGCGTGGTGGATAGGGGCGTTGGATTCCCACATGGCCGACCGTGGTTCATAATCCCTGGCAGCTTGCTCTCTCGCTTTCCCTTACTCTCTGTCTCTGTCTCGTCAAATGAAACTAATAATAAATGGAATTAAATTAATAATTTTTTAAAAAAGAAATTATATAAACCCAGAAATTTTACTTTTTTCTTAGAGGACGTTTTGGCAGGAATATTCGATTAAAGGACCAACTACAAAATCAGGTAAGGCAAAACTGGTAAAATGTGATGTTTTTCTCATCCTTTCTCTGTTGTCTTACATTCGATTTTTATTGTTTGAGTTTGGCCGATGTTCAACATACACACCCTGTAAATCTACAAAAGATTTCTCAATTATACACGGAGCTGTCCGAGGCGGAGAAGGCCACGCTCCTCAGTGTGCACACTGAAAATCAGGTTTGGTGAGGTACCGGAGAAATGAAATAATCGGCTTAAAGCTGGCTCAAACAACCCAGCTAAGTCGAGACTTGCACAGAATAAAGTAGGACTTCATTAGTTTCGAGCAGTAAACTATTTTAACTTTTTTTTCTTAGCCACTATAAGTGAAGGGTATGCTTATTCAAGGTAACAGAAGGATGCTGGAGAGCGTGGAGTAGATTCTGGAGAGGGGAGAGTCTTTCCTGATCACCTCTTGCTGTTGAGTCAGAGGTTGCTCCCTAGTTTCCGCGGCCCTGGGAGATGGCCATTTACGTAGGTAAACAGCGGAGCTTCATGCATTTCTTAGTCGTCAATACCAAAATGCATCTAGAGCAGAGTACATTTGCCCCATGCGATATCTTATTTAATAATATTAGCTATTTAAAATAAATCATAGCAGGGACTGGCAGGTGATGTGGTGGTTAAGGCACTGGACACTCCCACGTGGCTGATCATGGTTCAAGTCCCAGATTTGGTAGCTTACTTTCTCACTTTCTCTCTCTTAAAATTAAAATGAATGAATGAATAAAATTTTTTAATTTAAAAATAAAATAAAATAAATAATAGCCATCACCATGGCTAATAACTATATGATAGCAAATTAGGCTTTTAGAAATGTCATTTAGACATTGTTCAGGTAGATTTTTTCTTTTTTAAAAGTTTTTGCTGTAGACACATAAGTCTTCCAGAGAGATAGAAAGAGAGGGAAAGTGAGAAATCACTTTTTCCCAGTGAGAAATCACTCCCTGGGGGGATAGCCATGGCACAGTCCCTTCTCCTCCAAATTCCTCTTGGGATTTTGGGCACGCGCACACATAGCATGTTTTTCAAGCTACTGGGTCTGGGACTTGACCACACAGTTGCCTTGGGGGATCCAGCCACTTTAACCACCACTCCATTGGCTGATCCTCAGTAGATTTTCTACAGCAGAAATCAGTGTTGGACCCAGCAGCTGGTGTGGTGATTAGGGGGCTGGATTCCCACATAGTAGACTATGGTTTCAGTCCTAGACCTGGAAGCTTGAAAATCACGCTGGAAACGTGGGCCTATGTGTACAGAATTCCAAAAGGCAAATGGAAGAGAAAGGATTGTGGCATGGCCATGCCCCATAGAGAGATTTTTCACTTTCTCCCTCTCTGTCTCTCTCCAGTGAGTGCATGCACCCTATGGCAAAAATAAAAGAAAAAGAAAAATCAGAAACCAATGTCAATAATTCAATGCTTAGTAATATGTTTAGACCAAGAGTTAAATTTGTAGAAATCATAGGTGATGCTTTTCATTTATATTTACATTGTTTCTATGATTTCTCTGAAGATGGGAACAGAGAGAGAGTCGACGTCATGGGCCTCCTGACTGGATCCATCGTAGTGGGGGTTGTTCTGGTGATTTCCGCGCTGCTTGGCTATTACCTTTGTGCCACCAAATGTAGCAGGCAGCAACGACCAGGGTAAGTACCAAGAAGAGATCTAGTCTGTTATAATCTATTCTGTATTATTCTAAAATGGATTAAGCAAATGGCTGTCTTTAATTTTTTAATTAAAAAATACTTTTGGATTTTGCTATAGGTTGTGAGCACTCGCCAGAGAGAGACAGAGAGATAGAAAGTGAGAAATCACCCCCTCTCCCCCAGGGTTGGCTATGCTGCAATCCCTTCTCCTACAGTCTCCTCTTGGAGTTTGGGTACGCACGCTCACACGCCCAGCATGATTTTCATGCTAGTGGGTCCTGGACTTGAACCATGTTTGGCTGTGTGGGAGTCCGGTGTCTTAACCACTATGCCACCTTCTGGCCCTCCTGCCTATTAAAAAAATTTTTTTAAAGAGGTTTTTGCTTTAGGGCTTGTGTGCTCACTGGAGAGAGAGACCGACAGACAGACAGACACAGTGAGCAGGAAGGTGAGAAATCATCTTCCAGGAAAGATGTCCACCCCACAATCCATTCTCCTCCATTCTCCTCTCAGGGGTTGTGGGCATTCATGTGCACTCCCCTGGCATTATTTTCAAGCCACCAGATCTGGGACTCAAACTTTGGCCATGTGGGAATCCAGCGACATAACCGCTACGCCACCTGCTGGTTCCAATGACTTTTTTAAATTTTAGAGTAATTTTACTCATGGACGGAAGGGTAAATCACAGAGGTCACACAGAGTTCCCATCAGCCCTCCCCCAGTGCCCATTGTTAACATCCTATATTACCACAGTAGGTCTGTCACAGCTAAGAAAGTGATGTTGGAGCATTACTATGAACTGAACTCCACTTTTATTTAGATTTTGCCAGTTGTTCTATTAATGCCCTCGTGCTGCTCCAGGATTCAACACGGTGCATCTGTCGTGTCTTCCCAGGGCCCCTAGTCTACGACAGTTGTTCGCTTGCCTGATTTCGCCCACAGTGTACGTAACAACTTATTCATGCTATTTCTAAGGCCCTTCTAAAGAATGCAAGAAGTTTCTAACGCCAGCTTGCTCTTTTAATACGTGCTTCTCAAACGGGGGGCAGATACCAGTGTCCCCACGATATTTCCAGAGGCAAGTCAAAGTTTATAGTTTAAGGCTTACTAGAGCTGTGTGACGACACAAATAGAAGCAGCAAAACTGCCTTTTCATTCAACTATTTTTTAGTAATGCTTTAAATTAAATAAAAACTAATAAAATAGTTATTTCCATTGCTGTAAGAACATCTGATGTAGGGGCTGACAGACGGTGTGGTAGTTAAGGTGCTGGACTCCCATGTGGCCAACCGTGATTCAAGTCCCGGACCTGATGGCTTGTTTTCTCACTTTCCCTCTCTTGCTGATGAGCGCATGGGCCTATAGCAAATTTAAATAATAATAAAATAAAAATAATATTTTTAAAAAGTGGATGGAAACAACTCAAGTGTCCATTCATCCACAGATGAAGGGATATATGAAGTGGTATACCTAGCCAATGGAGTATTACACGACCATAGAAAAGAAGGGAGTTCTTATGCATGCTACAACATGGATAAACCTTAAAAATTATATCAAATGAGGGACCAGCAGTTGGCGTAATGGCGATGTTGCTGGACTCCCATGTAGTCGATTGTGGTTCAAGTCCTGGACCCAATGGCTTAAACTCACACTTGGCGCGTGTGCATGTGTGCCCAAGATCCCGAGAGGAGAATGAAGAAGGGATTGCGGCGTGGCCATCCCCCCTGGGGGGTGATTTCTCACTTTCTGTCTCTCTGTCTCTCTCTTCCTGGTGAGCGAACACGCCCTATAGCAAAAACCTCTCAAAAAAAAAAAAAATACACCAAATGAAAGTCAGACATAAAAGGATAACTATTATGTGATTCCACTTCAGTGAGACATCTGGAACAGGCAAATCCACAGAGACAGAAAGTGGATTGTAGGTTACCTTGTTCATGCCGCTGTCACAGATGACCTGAGGCCGAACAGTTTATAAAGAGCAGAAACTTACTCTCCAGTGTTCTGGAGGCTGGAGAGTCTAAGTTCAAGGTGCCAGCATGGGTTTTTTGTTTTTGTTTGTTTGTTTTTGAGGGTTTTTTGCTATAGGGTGTGTGCACTCGCCAGAAAGAGAGAGGCACACGCACCGGCATGAGTTTAAGCGACCGGGTCCAGGACTCAAACTGCGGCCAACTACATGGGAGTCCAGCAACATAGCCATGCCATCTGCTGGTCCCAATGTGCCAGTAGGCTTTGATGTCTGATAAGAGCCTGGCCTGTGCTCCCGATGATGCTTGAGCGCTGCCCTGGCAGGGACGAACATGCCTCCTCACATGGCAGAAGAGCAATAGAGAGAGAGGAACCCACTCCCGCAAGCCCTTTTTATAGCATCACTAGTCTGCTTATGGGGGCAGAGCCCTCAAGATCCGAACACTTCCCAAAAGCCACCCACGGCGCTGTTGCACTTGGAAGTAGTTTCAGTGTGACCTCTGGAGAGGACAGAGACATTCATCTCGGTAGGCTAGGAGTTAGTGCTCCATGAGTACAGACTTCCTGTTTGAGGTGATCAACGGGTTAGGGAAATAGGGTGCAGAGGTGGTTGTACCAGATTGTGAATATAAAACCACTGAATGGTACACTTAAAAATGGTTAAAATGGGAAATTTTATGTTACGTATATATTTTCATACACACACGCAGATTTCAGTAGGAACGAGAAAGGAAGTACAAGTTTAAGACAGCAGATGTGGAATTAAAATTCACCTGTGGGAGGATGAAAATTGAAGTCATGGGCTACACCGTGGCCTGGTAGTTAAGGCAGCTAGATCCCACATGGCTTACTATGACTCAAATCCTGGCCTGGTGGCTTGAGAAATGAAACATGTCGGGGACGTGTGCATGCGTGCCCAAATCTCAATAGGATGGAGAAACAGAGGGGAGAGAAGTATAGGACGACCACGCCCTGTTAGGCAGGCGCCTTCTCCCTCCCTCTCTCTCTCTCTGGCAAATGAACAAACAAACCTGAATGATTCTTTTAATTTTATTTATATATTTATTTTTATTCATACATTAAACCACTATACATCATTTAGATTGTGAAGAGACTTTACCCAGCATGATATACACCTTAGTCTAGCCCAGCTGAGACCACCATACACATCCTGGTCAACAGATATTAGACCTTATCTGTGTCTCACAAGTGTCTTACCTCTCCATTTCCCCCCAAAATTTCCTACACTCTTCCCCTTTCACACTCTCCCTCTCACACTCTTTTCACTTTGTCTCTAGTGTCCACTACAATTTTTAATAATTTTATGTTCTCCAGTTTTTGCCATAGGGTGCATGCACTTGCCAAAGAAAGAGAGAGATAATGAGAGGGAAAGGGAAAAATCGCCCCCCGGGAGAGATGGCCACACTGCAACCCCTTCTCCTCCATTATCCTTTTGGGATTTAGGACATGCATGCACATGTGCCTGGCATGATTTTCAAGCTGCCAGGTCCGGAACCTAAACCATGGTTGGGCATGTGGGAGTCCAGCACCTTAACAACTATGCCACCCACCTGCTTGTTCCTCACAGATCATTATTTTTTATTTAATAATTATTTTTAACTATTTATTTTATTTATTAATTATTATTTTTATTACTAGTCTTTAGTTCAACACAGAGAAAGTGAGAGAGAGAGGGAAAGTGAGAAAGCAAGCCACCGAATCTGGGACTCACACTGTTGTCAGCCATGTGGGAGTCCAGTGCCCCAATCACCATGCCACCTGCCAGCCCCAACAATTATTTCATTTTATTTATTATTCTTTTTAAAAATTTGTTATAAGGCACATGAGCTCACCAGAGAGACAGAGAAAGAAAGAAAGAGGGAAAGTGAGAAAGCAAGCCACCAGGTCTGAGACTCGAAGTACAGTCACTCATGTGAGAAGCCAGCGCCTCAAGCACAATGCCACCTGCTGGCCCCCACAGATCATCTTTCTATCCACTGTCCTACTCTGATCCTCATAGCTACTCTCTGAGTTTTAGGGGACATTTCAAACTAGGTTTATTAGACATTCTCTTAGACTGAGATTAACTTGCCAGTACCCACTGAAGTACTTTCTGTCTACTGTCTCAAGACATCCGTCCTGCAGAGTATTTGTTCTCTTTCTGTATTTCGCAACTCTGAAAGTGGAGGCAAAGAAAGGAAATATTTGAGAAAGAAAGGATAAAAAATAAGATCATTGTAAGAGAAGTTTGCTTCATTCCTCTCTGAAAAACATGCCAAGTAGGGGAAAGCAAGATCTTTTTATTTCTTAGTTCTGTATTTTGTAGAGGAAAATAGGCACAATGTGGTGGGCCCCTTTGAGATGTTATTACTGTAAACTTTCTGAAGATTTCAGTCCTTTAACACAAGTAGAAGACACTCTGTATTCAATGACTAATAGGATTATGACGTTATTTCTACATAGGAAAATTTGAAGGTCAACATGGAGGGGCCAACAGTGGCATAGTGGTTAAGGCCCTGGATGCCCACCTGGTCAACTGTATTTGAGTCCTGACCTGGTGGCTTGAAACTCACGCCAGATTCATGTGCATACTTGCCAAAATCCTGAGAGGGACTGGCTTGGAATTGTGCCTCCTTTTAGCAAAGCCAGGACTGGGTTTCACATTATACTTAGAAAATTTTTGTGAGGGAGTAGAAAAAGAGTCCTTGTTGCAGTGTGCCAGACTCTGCCAGCAGTTCTGCTCCGCAGCTTCCTCCACCCACAGAAAACTGCTCAATTGAGGTAGCTGTCATCCTCAGTAGAGACAAGGACACCGATTGCATTGATTGCAACTATGAAACGAGAGGGGCAGGTTTCAAACCATGTCTGACTTCCAAGCTCTTGGTCCTTCCCCATACCAAGGCTCTTAAGAGTCTGGGGGTAAAATAGTTTGGTCATTGTATCAGCAAATTGGGCTCAAGGTATATCAAAATTGTTGCATTTTAAAATATTGCATGCTACCCTAAAAAGGCTGCCTTTCCTGGCCCTAACCCCTTCTCTCTGCTTAGTTCTTCAGCCATCTACGTGAGATGGGGCAGGCACACCCCCTCCATCACTTCCCAGAGACCAGAAGAGGCTGTCTTGTCTCCAATGCCACCTTCTGTGGAGGACGCAGAATTACCCTCCTACGAGCAGGCCATGGCGCTGACCAGGAAACACAGTGCTTCTCCGCCACCCCCGTATCCTGGACCAGCGAAAGGCTTTAGGGTATTTAAAAAGTCTATGTCGCTCCCACCTCATTAAACTCACCTCACCATCTTAGTGTAAGAAATTCGTGTTTGTTCTCCCTGAATCAGAAAATATGTGGTGTATTCAGCTCCTTGTGAGGAACTTCAAGGAATGAAGGAGGAATGAGCATATGTCTGCCCCACAGACATGCTGCTTGCATCTCGGACCTGAACTTGATCACTGCCAGCTTGATAAGAAACGTTGGCTCCGTATCCTTGCGGTTAAGAAGAAAGCACTTTTTTATAATTAGTATTTCAGTGGATCAACAAATCCGTCATAGATAACACAGAACTACTGAACTGCTGGCATCAGTTGTGCAGATAACATTGCCGAGTTCTGGTGTGGGATATGTAAAACTGAGAATTTCTAATTAGATTACTCAAAGTCACGGTGCGGGCCGTACACTGTATTGGGTTTCCTTTCCAGCTGGAAATACTACAGATGATACATTTCAGTATAAATCTGTGGTCTTCATAGGTTTTCTGTTTAAAATTATTGTGCGGCATTTATGTTTTACAGCTTCACTTTTTGTTAGTCATACTTCATTATCGAAAATGAGGCCAATAGTTTTCTGTGTCTGCTCTGGGGTTACCTCTTCAGAGGGTGGAGGGTTCCAATGACTAGGATTTGCAAAGGTTGTTATGCTATAAAATAGAAGTTGTCTACATTGGGGCCATCTTGTAGCATGGTGTATAAGGTGCTTAAACCACATGGCCAAGTCTGTGGTTCAAGTCCCGGACACAGCAGCTTGAAAAATACTCTGAGTGCATGTGCATGCATGCCCAAAATCCTGAGGGGAGAATGAAGGACAAGGTATTGCAATGTGGCCATCCCCTCTGGAGGGTGCTTTCTCACTCTCTCTCTCCCTCTCTCTCTGTCTCTCAGGAACATAGGTGCCTTATGGCAAAAATCTAAAATAAATAAAGTTGCCCATGTTACCATCTTTATTTCTAAATTATCTACCTATACAACTGCATATGGTTATTTATCTTGAAAATTTGTTAAATTTGAAACTTGACAGAATCTGGAAAAGATCATTCACTTTTCTGCTATTAAAATAATGTTGATTAGGGGCCAGCAGGTGGCGTGGTGGTTAAGGCACAGGACTCCCACATGGCGGTCTGTCGTTCAAGTCCTGGTCCTGGCAGCTTGAAAATCACACCAGCTACGTGTGCATGTAGAGGAGGAGAATGGAGGAGAAGGGACTGCGGCATGGCCATCCCCCCTGGGGGTGATTTCTCACTTTCCCTCTCACTGTGTCTCTCTGCGAAGCACATGTGCCTATGGCAAAAATAAATATAAAAAATTTTAAATAATTGATTAAAGTTACCAGAAACCTCTTACATCTCTTAATCTAACTACAAAAGGAAAGTATCATAGGTTATTATTTCAACCCATACTTGGTCTATTATTCTAAACATATATACATGGCCAGTTGTCCCTTAAGAATGTAGCAGAGTATAATAAGCCTTAACCCTCTGGAGTATGTGTGCGTGAATTTATATGGGTGCATGAAATGTGAATTGGATTCTTCTTTGTAGGAGCTCAAAAGATAACATACTTTTGAAAAACAGAATAGACAATTCTACTTGTTATTTTATTTATTTATTTATTATTTTGGCCAGGCATTGCGTTTTCCTATTATTTAGGGTCATTTATAAAATGCATTTTATTTTATAATTTTTACAGAAGTGAATCTGTAAACCCACATGCACTTGGTAATTCCTTCCAAGTTTAACATTTAGAAAGTATAAAGTAGGGCTGGCAGGTAGTAGTTAAGGACGCTGGACTACCACATGGCTAACTGCGGTTTGAGTCCCGGACCTGGCAGCTTGTTTTCTCACTGTCCCACGCTCTCTCGCTCTGTCCCTCTCTAGTCAAATTAAAATAAATAATAAAATTAAATTAAATAATTCTTTTATTAAAAAGTATAAAACATATTACAATGCAAATGTCAGTGTATAGGCCTCTCTTAACACAGCATGATCTTAAGGCAGATTAAGTAAGACCTTAATCATTGTAGACTACTAACGAGTTTATCCTTCTAAAGTCTCAGATTCTCTTTAGTTGCTTGTAAATAAATCCATCGAGCACCATTTAAATTTAATTAGGAAGAGTGGGTTTTTAAAGCCATTCACATTACTTGTAGACATTCTGCTATTAGTCACATGTTGGTTTTACATAAACACTTTCTCTCCTGTAACTTTGCCCTTTGCACTTATTTTAATACCCTTTAAAAGGTTAGAGATGGGAAGGTTCCCATGGCCTGGTGGTTAAAGGGCTGGATCCCACACAGCCAAATGCATGGTTTGAGTCCTGGACCTGGCAGCTTGAGAAACACACCAGGGGTGGGTGCATGCATGCCCAAAATCTCAAAAGGAGGGAGAAATGGAGAAGGGGCTGTAGCATGACCAGCCGCTCTGGGGGGAAAAAAAGTCAAACTTTACTTTGCTTACTTCGCAATAATCAGCTAAGGCAAAGAAGGATAACTTGTTCAAAATCTAAGCAGTTGGTGAGAGCTGGGCTTAAAACAAGTGGGCACACTTTTCTAGCTCCATCTCATGCCTCTAGATTTACCCAGGATTTTCAAATTATGAAATCCAGGGATCTTGTTCCTTCATGCTAAGTCTGCAAGAGAAACACACACACATTTTTCATAGACATAATGCGTGTGTGTAGATCTCTTACATATGTGTCTATGACTTCTTGAGAAATACTTAGGATGAACAGTAGAATCACATATCTTTTACTGAATCAGTTTGAACTCTCTATGTGCTTGTTCACTTCTGTTGACTCCCAGAAATCTGACTGCAGAGCTGGCTTCAGAACCCGGGTCCCCCGAGTGCCAGCAGCAGGCTGGATTATCAGCTATCATGTAGTGAAAACTCACGCTGTAACTTGAGGGAATCTTGAATTCATCTTTAAGACTGTGAGCTCACTGATATTTACTGAGCCTCCGATGTCTTCAGTATTCCAAGGAAGACGTGGTAGAACCATTGCTGACAACGCTCGTAACAACTGGAAGGAAAACACCTGCACTTGGACTAGCTGGCTGCTTCCACCCCATGCCCCTCTTCCTACTCCTGTTATCACGTGGGGTGGGGTTTGTTTCATTGACCAATCTGTTTGGTCTGTGCTTCTCTAGGCAACTGCTTGGCGTTGACCACTACCTCGCTTTCGACACGAGGTTTTCTGTGTAGCAAGATGACTTTTCCACTCCATTACAATCAGGCAATGAATGGAATGGGGTATAAGGATCAGACTTGAAATACACATACAATGTTACACCCTCAGCAGGACAGCTAAGTCTAAAAAGAGTGTTCTCTTTTGAAAATGGGGGAAAAAAAATGAAAAGTCAGCACAAACTCCGTGTCAAAGTTTTGCATCTGTCAATAATGTGCCCTCTGAGTGAATCTACAGAGAAAGGGAAAACTCAGAACGGTTAAAAACTGGGGAACAGTGTCCTCTTTATCTTCGATTTCTTGTTTGCCTTTAAAATTCTACCAATATTTTTCTATTTCTCAGATATTGTATGTGTCTGTATACTCTTTTTATATATATGAGATCATTTTTTTAGAGAGATTTTTGCTATAGAGCACACGTGCTCCCCAGAGAGACAGAAAGTGAGAAATCATCCCCCCCTACCCCCCAGGAGGATGGCCATGCCACAATCCCTTCTCCTCCATTCTCTTCTCAGGATCTTGGGCAGGTATGCACACATGCCCCATGTGAGTTTTTTTCTTTTTTTTGGGGGGGGGGAAGGTTTTTGCTACAGGGCGCGTGTGCTCGCCAGACAGAGAGAGACAGAGAGACAGAAAGTGAGAAATCACCCCCCAGGGGGGATGGCCACGCTGCAATCCCTTCTCTTCCATCCCCCTCTTGGGATCTTGGGCACGCACGCACACGCGCCTGGCATGAGTTTAAGCCACCAGGTCCAGGACTCAAACCACGGTCAACTACATGGTAGTCCAGCGACATAGCCATTACGCTAACTGCTGGTCCCCCCGTGTGAGTTTTAAGACGCCGGGTCTGGGACTCAAACCTCGTCAACTATGTGGGAACCCAGTGATGTAACCAGTACACCATCGGCTAGTACCATGAGATCATTTTTTAATACTAACAGATTTGTTAATGCTAACAAAAGCTCTATTTTTTGTTATTCATAATGGTTTTACTTCAACTGAATGTGAGTTAATTTGATTAGTTATTAATTTGATTTGAAATGTTCCTCATGACATTTATACATTGGAGGAATAGTTAGCATTTCTGTGGTTGTACTTTTGTTTCATTCTTTTGTAAACCCTGTCCATGTGGTCATTTTGGGACACGTATGACATGTTCTTGTTGTTCCTCCAATCTTCTATATTGTGTGCTTCCTCTGTCATTGCTGTTGTATAAAAATATTTCCCTAATTAGTTTGACAATTTAAGTAATCCAGCACAAATACATCAGTATTTCCAATACAGGGAAAAAGCAACACTTTTAATCATGTTTTCCCAAAAACCCTGTTGTGCTTTGTTCTCAGTGGACTTTCAGTTACACTTTTTATACATGTAAGTAAACTTTATACTGAGTAAATACAATCGTTTGTTTCATGTCAGCATTCTTCTTCCTATAACCGCATGTCGTACTACAGGCCAGCCTGTAAGCTCCATGTGAATGCTCGCGGGGGGTTCTGGAAACAGTGTGCAGAGCGTGGTGTCACCGTGCGTCTCTTCCACCCAGTGGGACTGGCATTCTGTTTAAGGAATGCAGCTGCACTTGTGAAAGTGTTCCTTTTTACAAGTTTGACTATTTAATACAGTTGACCCTTCAACAATTTGAATGCAGGTCTTTTCTAGTACATATGGTAAATGTACTTTCTCTTCCTCATTAATTTCTCTTCCATTTTCTTTTCTTTTTCATGATAGAGAACATGTGTGTGGACATGTGATCCCCTTTCTCTTTCCCCAGCCTTCCAGAAGCTCTTCTGGACACCCATGTACATGCCTTGCATGTTTTCAGGCCCATCTTGGGTTCTGAACCTGTGGTCAACCATGGGGCTTCGAGCCCGACAGGCAGGGTTACTGCTGTTCTGGAGCAGCTAAGCCCTCTTGATTGTCTTAATTACAGTTTCTTTTCTCTAGCATATTTTATTACAAAAATAGAATACATAATACACATACCATACGAAATGTGTGTTAACCAACTGTATGTTATCAGTAAGGCTTCCAGTCAACAGTAATCACATTTTAGCTATTAGTAATCACATTTTTTGTTTCACTTTGTCTTTTTTAACTTTATTTTTTTCCTTCCATGAGCAGGACAGAGAGAGTACCCCCAGCGAGGTCCTTTACTGCAATCTGCTCCCCAGTTTTGCCCAGTCCTAATTTTGAGCGTGCATCTTCCCAGCATACTCGAGTTCTTTGGGCATGAACCTGGAACCTCCTAGGTGGGTTGTCTTTTTTTTTTTTAAGATTTTTGCCATCGGGCATGTGCGCTTGCTAGAGAAAGACAGAGGGAAAGAAAGAAATCATTCCTATCCCAGGAGATGGCCATGTCACAATCTCTTCTCCTCCATTTTCTTTTCTAGATTTTGGGCATGCATGTACACACACACACACCATGTTTTTCAAGCTGCCAAATCTGGGACTTGAACCGTGGAGTTGGCCATGTGGGATCTAGTGCCTTAACCATGTTACTGGCTGGCTCCATAGCAGGATTTTTTTTTTCTTTTTAAATAATTATTTATTTGGCACCAGCAGATGGTGTAACAATTATGTCGCTGGACTCCCACG